ATTCGCAGGTTGAAATTATGATTGTCTATAAGCACACACATTTTATCATGATTGAATGCTATCTTTACACTTTTCCATCTTCTTTTATGAACCCTCCCCTCATATGAGGTTAATCATGAAGGTTAATTAGATAAATTGAATTTTAAAAATTCCCCTAATTGGATTTTTGCAAATTTTGGAAATCTTAAAGAAATAAATTTTTTTGTTCCAACGATATTTAAAACAGCTTGTTATCAAATATTTCCAGGTTTAACACTTCAATGGCTATACTATATTAGGACCCAAATCTAATAGCAGATTGTGCTATCTTTTGCCGTTATAATAGCTTGGACTAAACGTTGTATAAGGAACACAAACTGTAAGAAGCTGTTTTGTTAGATTTTATCACATTCGTGGAATATTATAACCTGCTGGCTTACAATGACAAATATGACTTTCAAGATCTTCTCATAGAAGCTCAATGGAATTGAGATAATCATGCCTTCTGATCACATACCAGACAACATAAGTTTGTTTGAGTGCTAAATTTTCGTCTTCGATTAGCCTTTACCTAATTGCAGTCTTGTAAGGTGGCCACGATCCTGGAAAACGTTGAGGTAAGCTCTGGATGTCATGGTCCTCTTCTAAATTAATCAAAGTAACAAAACGTGCTACAAAACATTTCTCACAAAATATGCACAAGAGTGTTTGATATAATGACATGAACATGTTTCTTGGTCATCATATCAATGGAGCCATGCTCTTTTTATAGATAAGTCAAGATCGAGCATACAATGTGAGTCACGGCGTACACTCATTTGGTGGGAACGAGGACATTGCAAAAAGCCCATACCTACCATGGGAAGGAATTACCACAATAATATTCTTCACACAATTATATCATTTTCAATATCTTGCAGGGATAAATTTTTATGTCTTTTCCACTATGTTTCAATTCTACCATAAAACCATGAATCAGGAGTATTCCCTTTCGATTGCTACTTTTGATAGACCTTGATTGTAAATATCTTTGATCAGTCGTTAAATGAAACGATAATATGATTATATACTTCTGAGTTTATAAGGCTCAAGCAGTTACCTGCGCATCACGTAAGTAGTGTCTTTTGAATTATTAAATACTTAGTGTTCTACAAGTTCTTTGTGTGTGTGGAGTGTCCTAACAAAGTGGCCATGATGTGTATATCATGTTGAAGCTGGTGAAGCATGAACCAAGTGATGGTAGGAAATAGAATTATAAGATCACAGTAATGGTCACAGTACTTTTGAACATCTGTCTTACTTGATTATGTTTAAACATAAATGTATATTTAGGTTTCGTTATATGTATAAAACACTTATGGAATAATTAAACAAAAATTTGTTGATACTAAAGCCGATTTAATTATGTCTAATGATCTATGAATACATCAGTGTATTTTAAATTACTAGATTAATTAAATTAATTTCGAAAAATTTGATAGTTTAAATATACTTTATGAAAATTTTGTTTAACCTTTGAAGCATGCGACCACGTGCATACATTTTTTAATTCAATTTTCACTGCATTTGAAATAATATGATTATTTAAAATTCCACTTTGAAATTATTTCATCTTAAAATATTGGTGATGAATTAATTAATCCTATTTATCCTGTATAGTTAAGAATGGAATCATAGCATATAAGTACAGAATAACTATTTTTCCACCCTAATTCTGCAAACTAGAAACTGTATAAAGTTGTCCACACAAAAATAGATTGTCAAGTGAAAAATAACAAAGACATTTAAATCTTGTTTTTTGACAAAAAGGGACATGGATAAACGTTTCGTAATTCTATCATATTCCATCTTCAGTATCTAAAGCAGAATAAAATAAATTTACATAAGTCTTTGGACATTGCTAAAGTACAATTGCTAAATATAACGATAAT